CGGCTAAAAACTGCAAAAAAAAAAAAGGTAAAATATATGCAACCCTGATATATGGCACTAGAAGTGGAGGTAATAGCTGGAAAGAAAGAGAAGGGGCTTCTGAGTGCTGGTGATATTGTTTCCCAACTTGCTGCTCAGCCCAGGGGCTAGTTTACACAGCAGTGTTTGATTGTGCAGGTTCATTAATTATGACCTGTGCGCTTTGTTAGACCCCAAGGAAAAGTTTAAAAAAAAACAAAAAACCTGGATGTATAGAGACCTAGTGGTCTCTCTCTTTCACAGAATGGCCCCAACTTTCCACTCAGTTTCCCAGATCAGAAACTTAGGGGTCATTCTCCTGTCCCTACAATGCCCATCCAGTCCATTTCCAAGCCCTGTCTCTCTGACTTCCTCACTATGGTTCAATTCTACCCCTCTTCTCCACCCGACCGCCTCTTCCTTAACCCAGACCCTATTTCCTCCTGTAGGAGCTCCTGCACTGGCCTCTCATCTGGGCCCTTCACTCCCAATCCTGTCACCTCTGACTCATCCTCACACAGCAGCCAGAGGGATCCTCCTAGGGTGAAAATCCAATCATACTCTCCCCTGGCACAGTCTCTAAGTGAAGCCCATTCTCCTGCTCCAGGCTTCTAGGTGTGCTGAGTCCCGGGTCTCTGACTCCACACCTGCTTCTTCACCTTTAGTCACCCCCCTCCTAGGCACTCCCCACTCCTAGGCATGCCCTTCTGATGCTGTGCTGAAGGCAATCCCATGAGCCTTTGTCCAGGCTTTTCTAGGGGCTGGGAACCCTCTGCTTCCCCTCATTCCTGCTTTTCCCAGCTAAGTCCCACACATCTTTCAGGTCTCAGTTCAGATATCCTTCTGACTCTATGAAGAGTTTGGGCCCATTGAGGCAATCACAGTGGCACATGCACCCATCACAGGACACATCACATGAGAGTCAAACTATAGCTATGTGTCCACTTTCCCCACTGGAATGTGGGCTCCAGGGAGGGGTCATCATATCTGTCTCATTCATCTCTACACCCCTAGCACCTAGTGTGGGGTCTGACACATGGCAGAGACTTATCAAAGATTTGTTGAGTGGGTGATGACTCTAGGAGGCCTAGGCTGCAGAGTGCCGGAGGCCTGGGGCACGTCTCCAAGGGAGTTGGTGAGAAGGTAGACAGGAAATAACCCTTGAAAGACAAGAGTCCTAGAATTTAGAATCATGGAATTTGGGCTTCCAGGGACTTCAGAGGCTGTCTAATAGTCTTTTTTTTTTTTGAAACAGAGTGCAGGCTCAGC